AAAAGACCCCGCATAGCCAGAGGAATGTTGAAAAAGAAAAGCAAAGCTGGTGGCATCACAATCCTGGACTTCAAGTTCTATTACAAAGCTGTAATCATCAAGACAGTATAGTACTGGCACAAAAACAGACACATAGATCAGTGGAACAGAATAGAGGGCCCAGAAATGGACCCTCAACTCTATGGTCAACTAATCTTTGACAGAGCAGGAAATCATGTCCATTGGAAAAAAGTCTCTTCAACAAATGGTGTTGGGAAAATTGGATAGCCACGTGCAGAAGAATGAAACTGGACCATTTCCTTACACCACACACAAAAATAGACTCCAAATGGTTGAAAGACCTCAATGTGAGACAGGAGTCCATCAAAATCCTAAAGGAGAACACAGGCCGCAACCTCTTCGACCTCAGCCACAGCAACTTCTTCCTAGAAACATCGCCAAAGGCAAGGCAAGCAAGGGCAAAAATGAACTATTGGGACTTCATCAAGATAAAAACCTTTTGCACAGCAAAAGAAACAGTCAACAAAACCAAAAGACAACCGACAGAATAGGCAAAGATATTTGCAAATGACATATCAGATAAAGGGCTAGTATCCAAAATCTATAAAGAACTTATCAAACTCAACACCCAAAGAACAAATGATCCAATCAAGAAATGGGCAGAAGACATGAACAGACATTTCTCCAAAGAAGACATCCAAATGGCCAACAGACACATGAAAAAGTGCTCAACATCACTCAGCATCAGGGAAATCCAGATGAAAATCTCAATGAGATACCACCTCACACCAGTCAGAAAGGCTAAAATTAACAAGTCAGGAAACGACAGATGTTGGTGGGGATGTGGAGAAAGGGGAACCCTCCTACACTGGTGGTGGGAATGCAAGCTGGTGCAGCCACTCTGGAAAACAGTATGGAGGTTCCTCAAAAAGTTGAAAATAGAGCTATCATATGATGCAGCAATTGCAGTACTGGGTATTTACCCCAAAGATACAAATGTAGGGATCCGAAGGTACGTGCAACCCGATGTTTATAGCAGCAATGTCCACAATAGCCAAACTGTGGAAACAGGCAAGATGTCCATCGACAGATGAATGGATAAAGAAGATGTGGTAATATATATACCCTGGAATATTATGCAGCCATCAAAAGGAATGAAATCTTGCCATTTGCAACAATGTGGATGCAACTGGAGGGTATTATGCTGAACGAAATAAGTCAATCAGAGAAAGACATGTATCATATGACCTCAATGATATGAGGAATTCTTAATCTCAGGAAACAAACTGAGGGTTGCTGGAGTGGTGGGGGGTGGAAGGGATAGGGTGGCTGGGTGATAGACATTGGGGAGGGTATGTGCTATGGTGAGCACTGTGAATTGTGTAAGACTGTTGAATCACAGACCTGTACCTCTGAAACAAATAATACATTATATGTTAAAAAAAAAAAAAAAAGAAGATAGTAGGAAGGGAAAAATGAAGGGGGGGAAATCAGAGGGGGAGACAACCATGAGAGACTATGGACTCTGACAAACTGAGGGTGCTATAGGGGGAGGAGGGTGGGGGGGTGGGTTAGCCTGGTGATGTGTATTAAAGAGGGCACGTTCTGCATGGAGCACTGGGTGTTATACGCAAACAATGAATCATGGAACACTACATCAAAAACTAACGATGTAATGTATGGTGATTAACATAACATAATAAAAAAAAAAAAGCAGCAGCTGGTTACAGACACGGAGGCAGGAAACCTTGGGTTTCAAACTCCGCTGCTGCCCATGGCTCTGTGGGCCTCAGTATACCCAATATGGAGAACGGGGAGAAGGATAGTACAGCTCCTAATAAGAATGCTTTAGATCTCTTCCTTTGCTTCTAGAAAAGACAGCTGAGTAGGTTTGGGAAACTGAGGACTCTGTTTCAGCTGGTGCTGGAATTCAAGGACACTAGCACAACAGGCGGGCCGAGGCCAATAAAGGCTTTGAGGGCACAGCAGTATCTGGAAGTCACACTTCTTTTGAAGAATCAGGAGTCCTAATCCTGATCCTGCCTCTCCTACAAGCTATTTATCAGTACCAGTGAGCAGGCAACGTTCTCTAACAAAAAGCCAACTTTCCTGCACAGACTGCAGGGGGCCATGACCAGCAAGCATTTCCAGAGACATTCCCTGGACAACTGACAGCACTTCACGCCACGGCTGACAGATTACTACTGCTCCTTGTAGCTCGGGAGTCACAGGGAGCTGGCATTTGAAACTCCTTTAGCGAACGAGAGACAGACGTGAGCGGGCAGGTTTTTGCTGGTTTTGATGTGCAACATGCCACTTGCCCCAACAGCCCTGATCACCCACTGACATTTCATGGCCTGTCTCCAGTCTCAGGCTTGAGGATCAGACAGTTTACTCCAGAGCCGGACGAAATAATTTGAACAGCACAAGCTGGATCTTCACAAAGACAGAAGCATTGCAAGGAGAACTCTGACTCTCTGCCAGAGCCCCGGGCTGGGTGTTTAGCTAAGCAACTTGGCCAGGGGTGGGGACAGCTTATTTTTCTCAATTACTAAGCTCTCTGCAACCCATTCACTCCCAATCGCAGATGGTTACACAGACCAGCTTCTCGCCATTCTGTCTCAGCCAGAGTCCTTGGGGGCTCCCCTCTCGTCCATGATACTCACTGAGCACCCACTACGCACTGCATCCCGTGCCTGGTGAAGGTGGGGACAGGCACTGTTTCTGTCTCTGGGGCCTCACATTCTTAAGGCAGACACAGAGAAGGTGGCAGTTACAGTAACAAGTGTCCCCCAAGCCAGGCACTGCTGGATGATGTGCTCGCCTTCCAGCTTTGGCTACAGGTCTCTTCTTAGACTGTTCTCTCACCTTCCCTCTCCCCCCAGCCCCCAATGTGACAGCCACACAGGCATCCTCTTCCTTCTTCACACACAGCATCTTGCCTTAGAGCCTTGGCCCAGGCTATTTTCTCTGTGTAGAACATTCTACCCTCCACTTTTATTAAAGGACACCTCCTGAGAAAGGACTTCCTCACCATCCCCTATAAAGCATCCTCTCCCCTCCCCCCACCCGCTGTCTCTCTCTCTCTCTCTCAGCCCCACTATAACACTTGCCAAAATTTGAAATTGCGTATTTATCTGTTTGGTTACTTATTTATTTCTGTCTACCCTACCAGATTGCAACCACCAGTGAGCTGGAATGGTGTCTGTCCCAGTTCCCACTGTCATGTTCTGCACAGAGCCTAGAACAACTAGAAATGTTCACAAACTGCATGCTGAACCAGTGAAGGAAGGAGTTTTTCTATAAGGAGTGATGATGGAGTAGGAAGGCAGCTGACTCTGGAAGGCTCCATTAGTAAGGAGAAAGGGTCTGGGGTTTAGTTTTAGCAGGAAGAAGAAAGATCGCCAAGCATTTTAAGAGGGGGAGACACACAAACAGACCTTTATTACAGAATCCTCCCCACCTCTTCCGTCATGCAGAAACGACCTTTGGGGGCAGGGGAAGGGCAGATGGGAGGTAAGGAGATCTATTAGGAGAGGTCTATAAAAACCAAAGTCCTCACTACTTAGTGTGGTCCAGTGACCAGCAGCATGGACACCACCTGAGAACTTGTTAGAAATGCAGAAACTCAGGCCCCACGCAAGACCTGCTATGTTGCAACGGGCATTTTAGCAGAATCTCCAGGTGACTGTTCACATCCCTAGAAGCTGGGCTTTAGGTGGGCTTTAGGTGGCCTCATCTGCCTTTGTGGAATGGGGGCTAGAACAAATTCATGAGTGCCCCCAAAATCCACAGTTCCAGACGTATTCAGGGTACCAGCAGCAAGCCCTCCTACTACAAACCATCTCAAACGGATTCCATCAGGGGCCAGGGACAGGAGGGGAAGGGGCAAGGGTGGGTATGCTAAGCTGAGCTGGACTATTTAATCAGGATTTACTGACTGTGACCCTGGGCAGAGAAGCTCTAATTCCCAGGGCAGGTCTGAGGCTGGGGACATAAGGATTCCTGACTCTGGCTACGAAGATGTGTGAACTTTTTTTTATTTCCACTCTAAGTTTCCCCAGCACCTGGCACAGAGTTTGGCACATAAGAAGGGCTCAGATGATATGTGTTGAAAGAATAAACAAACAGCCAAAGAGTGATTATGATGTTGAGGTCCAAAAAGCAGATTACACGGGCCTGAGTACAAGCTAGACATACCTTCTGGCTTCCTGTTTTGTTAAACATATCCCCTTTAGTTAGAAAAATGTGAAAATCTGAGAGGATACAACTCTGCTTTCAGTGAACAAAAATATATCATCTGCGCAACAGAGAATCAGCAGGAAAGCATGGCACAGCCTCAAAATAACCCAAAAAAGCCTCAGGGCACAGCAGGCAGGGAGGGCCCCCCACTAGCCCTGTGGGAGCCCCATGGTGTAAAGGTTAGGATGGTGAGGGGCTCACAGGAAGAGACACTGTCACCTGTGTGTGCAGAGCAGGGAGGACCAAGACGGGACCCAGCCCAAGAACCACCTGGTAGCAGTGCTGCTGAAAGCAACCGTCTTCAGCCCCAGAATCTAAGTGCAAGGGAGCCTCAGAGAGACAACAGGAGGAAAGAAAAAAAGCACTGCAGCTCGAGCTGTGGGAGATGCAAGGCCATGTCCTACAGCAAACTCCAGAGACACCCACAGGCTCAGCTATAGGACTCACATCTGCGGAACCGCTTGCTACCTCACCTTCTCCAGGAAGCCTGCCTGGACTGACTTTAGGATCACACGCCACCCTCAGAAACCATCCTTTCCCCACAGTCCTTGATCACTCCAGTTCCATGGGAGGTAACATTTGTATCCTGTCTCTTCGGCTAGAGAGTCTCTTCATGCGGCAGCCTCTTGAGGGTGAGGCCCAGAGCCCATCGAGAGTCACGGGCCCTCGTGCTAGCACAGAGACTCATGAGAACACGCAGACATGGGATATTCTCGATGACAAAAAAAAAAAAAAAAAAAAAAATGGAGATGACTGACCTTGGAAGTATAGGTGTGGCCATCGGAGCCGCAGACCATGGCTGACTGGGCCGCAGGGCAAGGCTTGCACTTCACCAGATTCGAGGGTCCGACCCAGTGTTTGTGGGCCATGCTCCCCTTCTTTTGCCTAAGGATGGAAAGAGAGGGGATAAGTTCACTGAAGCTCCGGTCCCCACGGGTCTCACCTGCAAGCTGCCTGGACGAAAGCCCAATCAATCAACAACAGGGCTGGTCACACAGCCAGGCTCATCCTGGAGGCCTTTGCGAGTTTGTTCCCGTTTGTTCCAACGCTAACCGGGACAAGAGAGTCTGCTCCAAAAGCCCCGGTTCTTCCACCCACCAGATGCGACCAGGAGAAATAACAGAAAACATGACTTGGTGACATGGAAAGACATTCACAGCACATTAAAAGAAACAACGAGGGAGCGGCCGCACCAGCTCCCCGAGCCCCCAGTCCAGGGTGCGGCATGTCCGGGGCACCCGGGCACAGCACCCCGGAGTTTGCACTCCTCCGGGGTTGATGGGCAGCCTTCCCACCGGGCTGACACACACACAACTCAGATAGCAGCTGAGACAGAAACGCATCTCCCAACACAACCAAATGACTTTATCACAGCTGTGGAAAACGATCTCTGGATACATTTTGAAGCAATTTCAGTCCAGCTTCCAATTTGCCATTCTATAGAGGCTCTGATGGGATGTCACTTTAAACTGCTAAAATAATCAGAATTCTACTCTCCCATTCCGGCTCCAGTTTCCCCCATCCCAACCTGTGTCATAATGACAAATGATGCTATTAGGATGGCCTATGTCCACGGAAGGCACCCCACCCCTGAATCAGAAGCCACTGAAATAAAGGCCTGCAGTGACTGCGCCCTTCCTCTCGTCGCCCAGCTGCTCCCCCCACAAAGCAGGGGGAGGGACTCTCACGGCCATGGGGCGAGCTCCAGCAGGAGGATGGGCCGTCTGGATCCACCAGGTGATCATGGGGCCCTGCCAGCGTTTTTCCCTTGCAGTGCTGCCTGGTGGTTAACCTCTGGGCTCTGGAGTCAGAAGACATCAAGTACAAATCTCAGCTCCGCCACTTACTCACTACGTGATCTTGGCAGGATATGTAACCCTGGAACTGTAAGTAAGTCTCAGTTTCCTCATCTGTAAAATGGGCGGGAAGCAGAATCTACTTCAAGCCAGTGGCATGAGGATTAAATGAGCTGATGCATGTATTCGGTCTAATGCCTAGACACCAGAAAGCCATAAAAATGTCAGCTGTCGCTATAATTCTTATTTGCCCCAATAATATAATGGGGTATAGAGGATGAAATTACCACTGCCAGAGAAATGTGACTTCATTCCAAGGCCCAAGACTTGGAATGGCATTTAACTCTCCGGAAGAACTCATGGGGCCACAGAAGGAAAGCTTTTCTACTAGTTATGGAATAAATCTCCAGCTCCATATGAATTTGGATTTGGAGTCTGAGGCGACCCACACTCTTCCAGGAAAATGATCTAGGAAGAGTACCCCCCAACCTGGTTTTTATCCTACCTTCAACCTTCCCTAGCCATATAGGGGAGGCAGTCCAAGGAGGAAGGTCTGTTTGGGAAACTACCTTTCAGATTGACCACGTACCCACAGCACAACCTTTAGGGCCATGAGGGGATGCCAGGCTGGCAGGGCCAGAGGGCTGGGCCTGTCTGACCAATGAAGTGAAAAAGAAGGTCCCACAGGGACACCATGAGATCACCTAGTCCAGCTTGCTCATCTTACGAATGGTGAGAAGTGAAGCCCAAGTTGGGTAAGAGCCTTGCCCACAGTCAGGAAGACAATCAGTGGCTAGGACTAGGATTACGATGACACTGACGCAGCTGCACAGTGACCAAGGATGAATCTCTCTTCTTCAGCCCCTGTCAGCCCCACCTAGATTACTAACTTAAAACTTCTTTGGGGGCACCTATGTGTTTGTCAGGGGTGGTCCTCTCTCTACTGCCTCCCTACTTCTGTAACAGCTGCCCACCTTGTCCTGGCCTCTCTGTCTGAAATAAAAACATCTCCATTCCTAAATCACATGGACATGAGGTCTCCTAGGATCCTTTGTCAAACATACCTGACTCCTTCAAGGTCTGCTCCAGACTAGAGAAGAAGGGAGGATGGGTGATGGGACTCCATGCAGCAGCCAAGCGGGCTGTCAGCATGGGGTGAATCTGAGAGTCGACGATCCCTTCGGCAGAATGCCGCACATTTATCATCATTCATGCGGCAGACTGTCTGACATTGATAATGAATCCACAAATACAGGGAGCAGTTCTGGCATCTGGCAACCCCTCTCCTGGGTCAGTCCCCAGGGTTCATGGCCAATGCTGAAGCAATTCTTGTTATGAGTTCCCAGAAAGAGGCTATAAAGCCCAAAGAGTGGGCAGCTTTGCTACAGCAGATATAACCACGTACAATGACGCCCCAGAGGAAAGAAGGGGCTGAACCAAAGGGAGAGTAGGGAGAAGTGAACACCGAGCCAATGGCTTTGAGGAAGAAATGGAATCACCTATCAAAAACCAGTTAATGACAGGCCATCCCTACCCCTGGACATTGAACTTCACTATTAAATTAAGTTCATCATGAGGACACAAAGAGATGAGGCTGGCTGATGCTTGCTAGCAGGCCGGGGGCATCATGGAGGCTCCCTCGATCTCCGGGGGGGGTGAGTGGGTGGGTCTCTATGTGCTGACCACTGCAGCACTCACTCAGAAGTTCATCACAAAATCACAGACTGTCAGAACAAGAAAATACCTTAAAATGAATTTAGTCCAACAATTCTACTTTATAATAAATGAGGAAGGAGACACAGATGGGATGTGACTTGGCCAGTGTCACACAGAAATACAGCAAAGCTACCTCACATGCATTTGTCAAAATGAAGTTATTCTGGAAACGGCGACACTGTTCTGGGACCATTTTAATTCCTATTTTGGCATCTGTATTTTCATCATCAGGGGGCAATTTTATAAATAAGACTCCTCTGAAACATTGTCCCTGGCTCTGCACCTGCAAAGGAGCAAGCTGAGCATACCCAGCGTCGGGCGGTCATGGAGGCACCATGTCTGACCTCTCTCTCGTAGGATGCCTTGGGGACTAGAGGTAAAAAGGCCAACCCAATCTCAATGTTCACAGGCCTACCTGTCACATTGGAGCAAACTCAGATGTTCCTTACCTCACTAGGACTCTGGTGGACATGGCACCCAAACCTATGGTCTCCGTCCGGGGACAAATTATATAAAGTTATGTTGCAAGTTTATGTGATCCCATGGAGGCAGAACTTCCCTGGCTACTGTGTGTATTTCAATCCCCACAATTCACCCAAACCCTAAAACTTAACCCATCCAGTCAAGGCAAGGGACTAAGTGCTCGGACTATAAGGTATTTCACTTCTTAAGTCCAAGAATGAAATCCTATGAAGGAGTCTTGATGGAAATGCTATACCCAATGCCACAGACATTCATCACCTGGCGTGACACAAGCAATTTAATCTGGGAAGCAGGTCCTGCCAGCCTTTCAATTGGCCATGAAGCCCTAATTCCACCCTGAGCTGGCTGGTGCTAGGGGCAGCCACACTTCCTACCCTACTGACAACACCATAAAGAAAATCCCAACCCACAAGCAGCCCAGAAAGGACAGCACACAGATACCTGGCAGGTCATGGGCACTTCTTTTTCTCTTGTGCTTAACTGCTTATTCTCAATCTTTTTTTTTTTTTTTTTTAAGTTTACCAAAATTCCCAGCATTTATGTTTCTGAAGCAGAAAGATGATTCTTAAGTACAAATCTGATGACATGACTCCCATACTTAAAACCTCCCTCTTCCCACCCCACTCCCGGGGCACAGGCTGAACTCCTAGTTTTGGTATTACAATGACTGAGCCCTACCTTTGCAGGGTCAGTGCCTGCTTCCCACCCCCTGACACACACAGACACACAGACACACAGACACACACCCACCACCACCACCATCACCACCACCACCAAGTGTTTTTACTCCAGCCACCCTCTGCTGCTTCCCAGAGCCCAACAACAATCTCTGTGCACCTCTACCACCATGTGGATTTTTTCCTCCATCTGATGCATCTTCATTCCCATCCACATTGCTCCCCTCCATCTGCTCTGCCTCCTAAGGCGAAATTCTACAAGCCCCGGTTCAATACCCGCCTCCCGCAGTAAGTCTCCTGGGGCCCCTCCACAGGCAGTCCAGCCACATGCCCATACCGCCGTGGTCCTGGGATCACTTCTGGTCAGGCTCCCGCCTAGTCTCCCAGTGAGAACCTTGCTTTGACTTGACCAAATGCAAGTGGCTACGATTATTCCAATAGGGTATAGGACGTGGGGTAGACTCAGGCTAAAAGCCTTGGAGCCCATCCTGGACACCTCCCCTTCGTGCCCTCACCACTTTTCCGCATCACTCAGTCCTCCTGCTCCAACTCCAGCCAGCCCTATGAGCCTCCTCCATGTTCCTTGTATGAGCCATGCAAATGCAAGTCTACATGACTGCACAAAGACTTTCTGCCTTCATGGTAAATGGGTGTCCCTCGTTCCAGCTTCAGTCAACTGCCTTTCAAGACGTCGCTCCTGAACCTGTGAGCCCGACCTCAAGGAGACTAATCATGACATTATTTGTGCCAACATTACATCTGGTTCAGACTCAGCTGTGACATCCACTGCAGCATAAAGCAGTTCTTTTTGAGTCTATCTTCCTCAAGGGTAGACTGGCTGTCACCATTTTTGTGCTCCCGGGGCTTGGAAACACAGTCAATCCTCAACACATGAGTTTGTTCAGTGAAAAAGGTGAATTTATTAATCTGGACCTTTAGAACTTCCTCCTTTTATTTCTGGAAATTACCAGCACTAACTACCAGACTAACTAGAAGACAGACCTAGTGTGTGGTTTTAAGCAACAAGAATTCAAACTTGAAAAAACAATGATTAGCAAAAATTTTCTACAGCCAACTGAGAAGTGGGTGGAGGGAACTCTGCTCTGCACGTCAGGGCTGAAGGCTCCTCCTGTTCCAGAGGTCAGACTGCTTCCCAAGCTGGGTAAGGACCTCTGACGCAATGGCGCCAAATTCCCAGCAGATACCAACTTTG